CTTTGTTCTCTATTCAGGCCTTTCACTGGTTGGATGAGGCCCACCCCCGTTATGAAGGGCCATCTGCTTTACTCAGAATCCACTGGTTTAAACGTTAATCTCATCCCCCAAACACCCTCACAGAAACATCCAGGATAACTTTGACCAAATAATCTGGGCTCTGTGTGTCTCCCGCCCCCAAGGTGACACATAAAATTAACCATCACAATACCCCGTCCTTTTTACTTTGTAGGCCACCTGTGCAACTGTACTTCTTGTCCAGTTTAAAGCATGAATGAATGAATGAACAAGTGAACTCGAAGAAGGGAGAATTACATATTTACATATATGTATAGATTTTATATGATAGATATAGTTCGCCTATGCATACTTATAAATATATTGTTTTAAATAAAGAAGAGTAAATTTAATTTTAATGAGTAGAAAAGTCTTCAAAATTAAGCAAAAACAAAAATGAGTAAAAGAGATACAAATAATAGAGAAATCCCAATAAAAATAAAATATTTGACATTTAAAAATATTACTGAGTGAAATAAATAAGATTTAAAATAAAAGGCTGACAATTAAAATATATATGTGTGTACACATATAGAGAGATAAAACTTATTGCCATCCTGCCTTTTATTTTAAACCTCATCTATATATACATAGATATAAATTTGGCACAATCTACATTCCCAGCCTAGTGACTGCAATGGCAATATTAGTATTTTGGCATTTATTTTGTGCAATAAAAAGTGAGATGTAGGAAGCAACCTAGGTGCCCATCAGGGACGAATGGATAAAGAAGATGTGGTATATATTCTCAATGGAATACATACTCAGCCATAAGAAACGATGAAACCCGGCCATTTGTGACAACATGGATGGACCCTGAGGGTATTATGCTGAGTGAAATAAGTCAGAGGGAGAAAGTCAAATACCATATGATCTCACTCATAAGTGGAAGATAAAAACAATGACAAACACACACATAAAGACAGAGATTGGATTGGTGGTCCCCATAGGGGAAGGGGGGAGGGAGGAGGGCAAAAGGGTGAACAAGCACGTGTGTGGTGATGGCTTGTAATTAGTCTTTGGCCGGTGAACATGATGTAATCTACACAGAATTCCAAATATATTGCAATGTACACCTGAAATTTATTTAATATCACCAACCAATGTTACCACACGCACACACACAAAAGTGAGATGTGGTTTCATTGCTACTGACTGCACTGTCCTCAGATGCTGTTCCACCTCGGGGCCAGAGTCCAGGTCCCTCTGCCTTTCTGAGTTTGAGTCTGTCCAGGAAGGACGATTGGGAAGAAGATCCTGAATGATATAAATCATCCCTGGAGAGATAGGTTGAGCTTACGAGAGTAGATCTGTCTCTGAGGATAAGAGGAGAGAAGAGTAGAGAGAATGAAGGCCTGGAAAAAAGGAGGAGGAGCGGCTGACGCTGGGCAGAAACTCCCCAAACCCCCTCTGTCCCTCGTCCTTCCCTAATCCCACACCAAATGCTGTTTCTTTTCTCTTCGCCCCCCTGCCATTCTAAAACTCCTCCATTAGGGACTACAGGAAGTATAGAAGACCCAAAGGATGTGTGGGAAACATCCATGATGAATACGCATAAACCACATTAGAAGCCCAGGAAATAGGAACCACAGCAAGATACTTGGGAAGGGTTTGAAACTGGGGAGGGACGGGTTCTGAATCTTTCCAAACAAATGCACCTTTGAGTCAAAACGTAAATGACTCAAATTTCAGGTATTTTAAAATATCAAAATGTTTTACACCAATAAATACACTGGCATTTTATTACTTAAAAATAGAATGGTAGGCCAAAATTTAAAGGCACTATTCCAGTCCCTACCCAAATCAAATGTTAGTGCCTCCCTGAGCTGGTTCCCTTGTTACCCCCGTCCTGAGATTTTGAACTCAGATTCTGGAATCAAAGCAATTTTATGTTCAAACCCCAGTTTTGTGAGTTCTTAGCTTAGAACCTTGGGCAGGTTACTCAACCGTTTTAAGTCTCAGTTTTTTTTCATTTATAAAATAGGGATAGAAAGCTATAACACTATGTCATAGTTTTTTTTTGTGGCACTTTAATCGGATGGTATGCATAAAATATTTGTAATAGTAGCTGGTACAAAATAAATACTCAATAAAAGTAGCTAGTATTATTATCACTATCAATGGTTTCACCATACCGATTTAGAAACCTGAGTGGTGTCTTTGATTTTCTTACTCTTCTTCCAAGTGATGACCTACTTTATTCTACTTAAGAACTATTTTTAATTTGTCCCTCTGTCCCTTTTCCCACAGCCACTATCCTAGTTCGGATGGTTGTAAACTCTAATCCTCCATCCAGCTGGCAGGCAGAATCATCTTTCTAGCATAGATCTGAGACTGTTTCCCTTCTGCTGAAAAAACTGGGATGACTTCCCCTTGCCGAGAACAAAGTTTAATTCTTTTTTCTTAAGTGAGATATAATTGACGTATAATATTGTGTAAGTTTAAGATATACAACGTGTTGATTTGATACATTTATATATTGCAATATGATCACCCCCTTGGTGTTAGCTAACACTTCTATCATGTTACATAATTATCATTTCTTTTTTGCGGCGAGAAAAATTAAGATCTAGTCTCTTAGCAACAAACTTTAATTCTTTATCACGGCATTCAAGGTTTTCTACTATTTGCCCCTGTGGTAGATTGCATCATTGGCTCCAATTCTTCACCCCTCTTTGTGTCTGTGTCCTTTGCCATGTGACTTTACAGTGCCTTCCACTAAAGAGGCAGAATCTATTTCCCCTTGGCTTTGGATTGACCACGCGTCTTGCTCTCTTGCACTTCTGCCATCCCAGGAGAGGAAACTCCTCAGGCGACCTGGTGTTCCGGGAGCAGGGTGAGAGATGGAGCAGAAACACTCCAGCTGAGTCCCGCCTGCATCAGCCAACCTGCGGATGTATGAGAAATAATGAACAGTGTTGTTTTAAGCCACTGAGTTCTGGGGTAGTTTGTTAAGCAACAATAGACCCCCAAATCCTTTTTCGGGTAACTTTCTCCTACAAAACCCATGTATGTTCCAATTTCATAGGAGAACTTGTCCCCAATACATTTCTTGAATTCTCTCTGTTTCTCTCTGCTGGAAATACCCTTCCCTTTTTTTCACCATCTTTCAAAACCCTAGTCATCCTTCTAGGTCGAGCTAATATGTCACATTCTCTGTCAAGCCTTCTCTGATGCTGCAATCAGATTTAACACTGATTCCTTCCATAACCTTCCACAGCCCTCCATCTGTATCCTCTGGTATTTTAGTTATCCATGTACAGATCTGCTCCCCACCAAGTTCCCTTAAAGGGAGTGTGTGTGTGTGTGTGTGTGTGTGTGTGTGTGTGACTGTTATTCATATTTGTCTCCTCTTCAGTGCCCTGCATACATTCTAGAAGTGTTTGTTGGAAAAATGGAATGAAGGAATGAAGGGAGAAATAAATTGAAATGCAGTGCCTGTCTTTTATCACAAAGGCAGGTCAATGAGGGACCACCTCATGGCCGAGTGGTTGAGTTCGTGTGCTCCACTTCGGTGGCCCAGGGTTTTTGCCGGTTTGGATCCTGGGCACCGACATGGCACTGCTCATGAGGCCACGCTGAGGTGGCATCCCATAGCAGAGCCAGAAGGACCTACAACTAGAATATACAACTATGCTCGGGGGTGCTTTGGGGAGAAGAAGAAGAAGAAAAAAAAAGATTGGCAACAGATGTTAGCTTAGGTGCCAATCTTAAAAAAAAAAGCAGGTCGATGACATAATGATTTTCTGACAACGTGCCCGGTTTAAACTTCAATGCTGATGCCACTGATCTAAACTGGAGAACATTAGTAAAACAAATTGAGAAAAACTGCTAAGAATTCAGTTTGGTTAATATTAAAGTATAATTTTGAAAAGGATAAAATTGTGATTCTCATGCAAATATAAAATGAACACATGTCAAAGATTTTATTCAGCCCATTACTTAATGAGGAAACCAGTAAGATGTTAATACCGGTTTACACAGCTTTTGAGGAACTAGGTATATTTAAGCAATTAAGGAATATTAGAATAAGCATTCTGAGTTAAGTACAAAGTTGGTTAACATTCTACAGAATAGTAAATGATGACCTTTGTAGATATCTTATTCACCAGACAGTAATTATTTGCATCTCTACCAGACAAAAATCTATACTTTAAGATGTAATTTTATGAAGTCTGGGAACTTTGATCAATGGTTTTAGCATGAATGAGTCATCATGTGAATTATTAAGCTTAATAGGCACACAAACTATTTTAGATCAGTAAAAAGATTAATTCTCTAAATTTGCATTATAACGGAATTTTGGCAAGCTAAGTCAATTAAAAATATGTGTTGAGTGTCTGTGTGCAGACAAGCACAGGCACCGTGTGCGTGCCAAATATCACTTATTCTCTGCCTTCCAGAAGTTCACATTGTAAATTCTTTCATTTTATGAGAATTTCCTGAATTGATAGTCTGATTTGTTCTTTGCCACGGCCCTGCCTAGGAAGAATGGCAGGTGTGGCTATGCCAGTTTTGTAAGTAATCTGTAACTTAGTCAGGTAACTTGCTCAGAATTCTTCAACTAATGAATCACACATATAGTTTGGATTCAAACAAAGTTTTATGCTTCTGAGTCCAGTCTCCCTGTCTTTCCATTGAGAAGCCCCTTCTGTAGGATCTCTCGAAATGGTTTGCCCATCATGTTGCATGGTTTTCTATTTACAATTTTTTAAAAAAAGCACTTTAGAGCTGGGTCTGCAAATTGCCAGAACCCATGGGACTGTTAGAGTTTCCCAAACATGTTTTGTTTGGCCTGCATAAGGCAATGAAATTTTTTTTAAATTTATAAATCAGCAGATTTTACATACAAGTCTCATTTGGGGCCTTTTTTTCTTTAAAAAAATAGTAGATTTGACAGTCCCGGGCCCATATCTTTGTATGACAACCAGTGGCTGGAGCTGGGTGGCTGCTGCCCCATACAGACAGTCCCCCGCCACCCTCACTAACATGGCCTTCATATTGCCTGAGGGCATTGAGTTTGCAACCCTTGCTCACTTCTTCCTTGCATCCCCTCTCCCCGCCAGACCCAGCCATGTGCAGCATCCACGCAGCTGCAAGAGAAGTCAGTGATCTGAGGGCGCAGAAGGAAGGCCGCGGCTCCCAGAGGTTTGCAACGTCCTCTACAAGATGGGCCAGAAATTTCACCTGGTTCTAGAGGAAATTGGTGAGAATGTCTTTTCAGTCCTGTTCTCTGTGACCAGAGCAGCTTAAATGGGTTGGAATAAGAAACAAGAGATTTTGGCAAGGGTGGCAGATAAACTTTTGTGGCTTAGAACATTACCTCCCATAGCTCTGCTGAATAAGGACCAAATGGAATTTCTGAGAGATGGCTGTCCACCTTTGCTAGCAAGATGATGGCACAGGTCAGAATTGTGGAGCCAGTCTGGGGAAGTGCATTCTGAAAAATTCTGGAAAGAATAAATAGAGTGTTGTCTAGTACATTACAGGAGATTAGATCATAGCTTTAGGCCCAGCTGCTGGACTTGTTCTGTGCCTGTGTTCCTCTTCAGGCCTAAATTAATTAACATTTCATAAACTAATCAATATTATCCAACAATAGACGTGCATGTGACAGAGGGGAAAGGAAACCAGGGCTCCAGTGTTCTGCATTTGGACCCACTGGGCTGAAAGGGGGTCAGATGGAAGGATGGTAATGTTATCCTGTGTGACGGGAAGGGGGAGTGGTACCTTCTCCCTATTTGTCACTTTCTTTTTTGCTGCACAGATGATTGAGCTGAGAGAGGAAAAGGGCTCCTGTGAGAGAGAGCCTGAGAGGCTGGAGTAGAGCTAGCCACCTCCATCCTCGGCTCAGAGCAAGGGCTGGCGTCTCAGCCGATCTGGCTGCAGTTACTCAGTGGTCCTGTGACCTGGGGTAAGTTACCTGAGCCTCAGGCTCCTCATCTGCAAAATGGGGACAGCAGTAGTTCCTTCTGCAAAGTGTGCTTGTGAGATTGAGGGAGGAATCTGTGTCAGTGACCGGCCCAGAGCAGGGACTACAAAAATATTAGGCCAACCCCACCACCAATATATGTTGGCTTCCTTTCTTCTTTGACAAAGCTTAGGGTAGAAGTCCTCTGAAGGCAGTGAATTAACGAAGCTCAGTGATTGAGAATGTTGGCCCTCGAGCAGATGACCTGTGTTCAAATCCTTCCCTGAAAACTACTGTCTGTGTGACTTGGGCTAATTATCGAACTTCTTTGTTCTAGCCTCAGCTTCCTCATGTGTGAACTAAGTATAAAAATTACCCCTATCTCAAAGGGTTGACTATGAGGGTAACATACCATAGGACAGTTAAGCACTTAGCAAAAGGCTTGGCACGAAATAGGTGCTCAACAAACATAAGCTTTTTTAAAAAAATTAAATGCAAAAGCTTATCTCCTTTAAAAAATCAAGGTAAAATTCACATGATCTAAAATTAACCATGAACCATTTTAAAGTGTACAATTCAGTGGCATAAATTTAGTACATTCACAAAGTTGGGCAAGTATCACCTCTATCTAGTTCCAAGATGTTTTCATCACCCCAAAAGGAAACCCTGTCCCTATTAAGTATACCCCTTTCAGGGTATACTGCCCATTCGCCCCTCCCCCCAGCCCCTGGCAACCACTAGTCTGCTTTCTGTCTCTGTAGATTTGCCTATTCTGGATGTTTCATATAAATGGAATCATACAATATGTGTCCTTTTGTGTCTGGCTTCTTTCACTTGACATAATATTTTTGAGGCTCCAAAGCCATTATTTTAATTATTACTACTCTCTGAACTGCTCTGGCTAACATTCTAGAATTATTAGATTCCTTTTGGGGAGTGAAGATAAGATAATAAAAGCAAAACAAAACAAATTAATGGTTAAAGTGCTTTTCTAGGACAAATAGAACTTCCTTCTCTGCATGTTTGGGCGTCAGATATTTGGGGGCAAATGAGAGACAAAGCTGTTCCCGGGTCACTGCAGCCTCATAGTGGCACAAGTGACAGGCCAGATGTGCCTGTCTTGGCGGTGGGAAGCCTTAGAGGGACAGGTTGGAGCTGGGTCATACCTGACCCACAGTTGTTTGTGAGGCTGGAGAGCACATACCAACGTCTCCGAACTAGAATGCTAAGGGCCAGCCTGAAGAACTGTGTCCAGATTCCTCCAAGTCATTGGGCCTCAGGCAGGCGCTGAGCGTTGGCTTAAGAGGCAAAGAGGGTCAACAAAGAATGCATCAGCCCTGGAGAAGGGGAGAGAAATTCCAGGGAGGGCGACCCAAAGCCCTTGCCTAGGGGGACAGTCCTTTCAAGAGCCTCTTCAACAACCAGACAAACCAGTCATGGGTCCTTCCTGTGACAAGTGCTTATTGAGTGTCTGGCTACTGGAACCACAAAAATGAACAAAATGAAGTAGGTTCCTAGGGGGTCTCTGTATCACAAGGAGCACGTGGGTAAATCTATATAAAGGGCTTAGACCAGGGTCTGGCACATAGCCCTCAATAGGAGATAGCTGTTGTTATTATTACTGTTGTTATCATAGTGTCTTGTTTGTTTAACTATTTTTTGGCTATTAATTGTAGGAGTAGTAGCAACGGTAGTAGTAAGATAGGCAGATAGATGGATAGATAGACAGATACAGTCCTCTGGGGATTCTGCCAGTTGTTGTGTGAGTCAATTCCAGTTATGCATTCCCAACGTAGGGAAATAGCTAAATAACTACAGGTGAGGTAAGGGACATCCCAGGGGTAACATGAAACAGACCTGAACTCCATTGATCATCTGACCTCCGTAAGTCCTCTCTGGCTGCTGGGCAACAGTGGCATTTTGAGTCTCCAGAAAGTAGTGTTAATTCAAAGCCAATGACCAGTTATTTCCAATCCACAGTCACCTGGGCTTAGGTCCCTTGGAGGAAGGCTGGGAGGTGTGAATTTCTGGTGGTATAGCAAGTTCTTTCCTCAGTGTGCCCGGCCTCCCCTTAATTAAGGGGGCTCTGGGTGTGTGAACTGGCCCACGACTGGAAATTGACTGAGTGGCCATGTCTCTCCATTATGAGGATTCAAGTCAGACTTCTCGTCACCAAACCTAGAGCTTTTGTGGCTTATACAAATCAGATAAGACTTTGGAAGGCTAGCCATCTGTACACTTCTAGGGGCACCATGATCAACTAGCCCATGCCAAAGATCTCTGAGGTCAGACTGCTGATGACTGATCCACTCTGTCGTTCATTCCTGTAGCCACGCCCTCCATGTCTTTGACTACCGAGTGCAGCCACTTGGCTTCAACCACTCCCAGATCCCATCATTTCCCTCTCTGAGAAGCCCACCAACATAGAAGGGACCAGAAATTGCAGCTGGACTTTCTAACTTCAAATGAGTGTTTGAAGGGTCAGATCTAGATGTCTGGATATTGATATAATATAAATGTGTGGTTAATACACTCAATCAATTCTTTTAAAAAACCTTCCTTCAAATCAATGAGCAAAGCTGAAAGACCAATAGAAAAATGGGCAAAGGATAAAATTTCTTTAAAAAGCAATACATATAGCTAATGAATACATGAATAGTAATGAATATGTGAAAAAATATTCAAATCCTCCAATAATGACATGAAAATAAGACAACAAAAGAGACTATTTTTCAAGGGAAGGATGTGGAGAATTCTTAAGTTTGGTATTTGGAGTATAAATTGGTACAAATTTTCTGCAGGACAACATGGCAATATACACCCAAATCCAAAATATGTTTATCTTTGACCCACAGTTCCACTTCAAAAATTTATCCTAAGGAAATAATAAATGTATGAAGATGTCACAGAGCCATTTTTATGAGCAAAAACTTTGAAGCAATCTAAATACTCAACAATAGGAACTTGTTTTCAGTAAATTATGATATATATGTGAAATATTATGCAGATATTCAGTCAGTAAGCATTTATTGAGCACCTACTCGCCAAGAGTACTCTTGTAAAGTCCAGGGGTACAGATTATCTCTTTTTTTATGGAGCTTACGTTTTAGGGGTTGGTGACATAGAGTAAACAGATAAATTTTTAAAACTTGAGTCATGTAAGTGCTATGATGAAAATTAAAATGGTGGTGTGATAAAGAGTGACTAGAAGTGGGGCTGCTTTAGACTAAGTCAGTCAGGAAAAGCCTGACCGAGGAGATGACATTTAAGGAGAGGTGTAAATGCCAAAAAGGACATTAGAAATCATTATTATGTAGGCCAATGTTTCTTGACCTGAAAAGATATTACAGATCCTATTTTTTCATTAAACTACATACATGGGAGCTGGGTGGGGTTGGTATATGCCAGAAAGAAGTCTGAAGGAACTGATATTGATTAGAACGCTTTCCCAGCTGCTAGTCACTGAAAAGCCGACTCAAGACTGATTTAGTAATAAAGCAAGTTATTGATTCCTGTAACTGAAAAGCCATGGTTTCCGGGGGCTCAATAACATCCCAGAGGGGCTGGTTTCTTTTTGTCTCTCTCTTCTGCATTCTACGGAGTTGCTTCATCTCTCATGATTCCAAGACGGCTGCCAACAGTTCCTAGGGCTACTTGTTTCCTCCTTCATGTCTGGAAGGAAGTAGAGAGCATCTTTGTCTCAACATCCCAGAAAAAGACAGGAACTTCAGTCTGATTGGACTGGCTTGGGTCACATGACCATTCCTGAACCAAATTCCCTGGCCAAGACGATGGGCTATAATGGTTAGCATAAGTCATTGAACATCTAACAGTGGAGGTGAGAGTGAGGTGATCCCTAAACCACAGGGCTGAGAACTCGGGGGAGAGAATATGTCCCAAAGGAAGTTTCGGGGAGCCTTTCCCAGAGGAAGAGGGGAAAGTTCTGGGTAGCAAATACCAGTTGTTGCGTACAGAAAAACGCTGGAGAGTAAATAGTGCTTATATCTCTAAGCTTTGGATAAGGAATTACTGGTGATTTTTACTTTGTTTTTATACTTTACCATATGTTTGAATTTTTTTACAGTGAGAATATATTGATTTTATAACTGTAAGACTTACAAAGCTGTTTCTATTTTTTAAATCTGGCAAAATGAATAAAAGGTGATAAACGGATAAAGACATTTTTTTCGGCTTGTGTGCAACAGCTCTCCTCTTTGAATTTGCTTCTCCTCCCCTAAAGCATTATTCTTGCAACTAAACCAGCTCTTCTGGCCTTTTCCTTAAGTAAAAAGGAAGGCCGTGTACAGGCGGGCTCTCAAATCCTGAGTTTTCACAGAATCTCCCTCCTACCCGCCCAGTTTCACTTAACAAGTTAGCAGCGCCTGCCGGCTCACTCTTCCCCACTTCCAATGTGCTATTCTGGGCCACGGTAATTATTCAGCCAGTTGAGAGTTCTCCTCAGTGACAACTGAGATAGCTCAAACTAAGAATAGGACTCTGACTGATAAAGGAAAGCGACAGTGATGGGGCCGTGAGGAACTTGGGCCCCTGCAAGGGCTTGGGACCTAAAACTCAGTTTTGTTCTTTGCTCCTAGGGCTGCCACTGGTCTGTGGTTTTGCTCTTCTATATGTTTCTGTGAAATCTTGTCAGCTGCATAATCACACAAATAATACGGGCTGGAGAGGCTTATCAAGGGTCCCAAAGAATGTTGCTTCTCAGCCGGGCTTCCAGCTGGGAGCCCTGGGTCTAAGCTTGCCAGACAATTCTCTATTGTACATTTGAGGACTTTTTCTTCAGAGGCTTTTGAGTTGAGGCCAGAGGATATTTTTGCATTTTCTAAGATCTTCAGTGAGAAACAGAGGAAACGCTCTGCCCTCTTGGGGCAGTAGATGCTCTTGTAAAGTGGTGAGGGAGTTTGGAGTTAGAGGGGGTGCTCCACCCCTGCCTAGCTCTGTCATCTAAGCCTTAGCTTTGTCATCTCTAAAATGGGAGTTATTGAAACTCACTCATGGTGGTGCTGTAATGATTAAATGCGTGTTTGGAAAGTACATAGCATGGTAACTGCCCAGCAAACGTTTGTCAGTATTATCCTACGGTGGAGAAATTCCATATGCCTCTCAGGTAGTCGCATGGAATCAAGCTCCACCACATAGAGTGACAACCTCCAAAATGCGCCTTTGTGTGGTTTTTCCGCCTTTCAGGTCTCATTCTCCTCCTCCCTCACTCCGGCTCCCTGGGGTCACCTCCCACACAGACCACCTGCACTTAGGTCCTTGTCTTGGGCTACACTTTTCGTAAGATTAGGCATCATTTGGTCGTATCAAAGATTATGATGACAACAGCGTTGATCATGATTTTGGTGATTTGTAATTATTTGGGGGAAGATCGCTGATGGTGCCACTACTGCTGGGTATTCAGCTCGCTAAATTCCACAAATTCTGTTTTTAGCCGCCTGAAGAGTATGGAGTGGGTGTGTGTGAAATGGAGAAAGGCCTTTAAGGAAGCCGGAAAGCTGGAGGCGATAAGGCCCAGGGGCATGTACTGATTGAAATCCCCATTCCCCATACCTTTTCTTCTTTCTTAAAATAAGGAGGGGACTATAAAATGCCAATGCCAAAAATAGAGTTCTGGCAGACACACTGGAAGTGGGCAAAAGTGAGGCCATCTTATTTTGCTAAATGTCCCCAGCCCCTCCTCGCTTCTCTGCGTGTACTTTAGTAGATTCACATGCTCTCCTGATTTATGGCCTCTGCTTATGTATGTAGTCCCCGATACCTTGATAAATTAATACTCTGTTCTATGACTTTCTCTCCAGGAACAAGCTGACCACAGACGAGAAACACGCCTACAAGGTATCCATCACAGCTGACAGAAGAATGGAACAGTGTGATGCCTGGAGCCTGGCATGCCTGGAGACCAACATCCCTGGACCTCTCCTCACTGCCCATTTTCCCTATATAACTGCCTCAAGATTCTGTAAACCTGGAAGATGGGTCTTTGAGACATTAGTCACCCATCTTCCGATTAGCCAGCTAATCTAATTAAACTTTCTTTCTCGATCTCCAACTCGTTGTGATTAATTGGCTCAGATCACAGCAAGCAGAGCGAGCCCATTGCTTGGTATCAGCACCATCAGGGTTAGAAATGGTTGGTGTTGGATAAATTACATTTTACTCAACTATACAGTCAATTCCCAGTTATTCTTATGCTTCTGCAAGTCTCTTCCCATTTTCCATTTCTTGCTTCCCTCCTGTTGGCTGTGGCACAGACCCATCCCTGTGGTTAACCCTCCAGTCTTGGTGACACAGTAAGTATGAGCAGGAGTCTGCCGCTGCCAATGTAAGGAAGGGACGTTGGAAGATTTTACAGTTTATTCTTGGTTTGCTGTTCTAGTTACTATGGCTGTCTAACAAATGACCCCCAAATTGAGTGGGGGAAATATCCATTTGTAATGTTCATAGAGTCCCTGGGTCAGGACTTTGCAGCAGGGAGAGCTCATCTCTGCTCCATGGTGTCTGGGGCTTCAGCTGGAGGACCCAAAGGCCAGGGGTGGGAATCGTCTTAAGGCTCATTCACAGACGTGTGCAGCAGTGAATGCTGGCTGTTGGCTGGAGGCGCAGTTCTCCTCCACTTCGACTTTCCCATGTGGTTTCTCTGTGAGTTGGTTTGGACTTCCTCACAGCATAGCTGCTGAGCTCTAAAGCAAGGGTTCCTAGAGAGGGAGCCAGGAGGAAACCAAGTCTCCTTTTGTGACCTGGTCTTGCAAGTCATGCATCATTATTTCCACCACATTCTCTTCATCGAAGCAGTCATAAGTCCCAGTGAGGTTCGAGGGGAGACTAAATGGAATCTGCCTTGTGATGGAGAGAGGCAAGGTTCTGGAAGAATGTGGGACTGGAAATTTTGCTGTGACCATTTTTGGAAAATGTAAGTTGCCACATTTGCATCCAGGTTGCTAAGGGAGTATACCAAGGTGCTTCTAAGACTCTGGATGATTCTACTTTGAAACAGAGAAAGGGTGATGGTGTCGGGAGGGAGTGATGGCTGGCCCCGTTGCAATAAACAAGAGTAGATGCTTGGTCTCGTTTCCCTGCGAGATCCCTGAGAGAGAGTCCAAGAAAAAAGAAGGCCAAAGGAACAAGCCTAAGTAAAAAATGGTCACCTGGTGTGTTGAAACGCCCTGCCCCATGACAGAGAACTTAAGTTTAAATGGTTGCATCTTCTGACAAACTTGAAGGACCAAGTCTGCGTCATTCTAAGATGTGCTCACAGTGCCTCACACATAGAGCTCCAGCAATGTGTGTGGACAAGAGGACCATGGAGAGGACTGGGTGTTGGCGAAGATCTGAGAATAAAGATTGTATCCCTAGCTTGACCGGTAGGATTACATTCCGAGCGTCCTAAGCGAGGGCTTGCGCTGCCAACATGTTGACATTCCACAGGTAGCATGAGGATTGCAGGCCTCTGGGGAGCTCTATGAAGAGGACCCCTGAGGTTTGTATGTGTTTTTTGGCCCAATTCTTCATTTATCCCATTTCCTCAGGAAGGGGCCTGAAGGTTGCCGATGACTCCATTAGAAATTCCGTTCCTGCTGAGAGGGAACATGGTTAATTGCGTAGATTCACAGACTCTGAGTGAACTTATCGAGTGATTATTAAGTACCAGATGTTGCCTGTGGGTAAGACCGTCTTACTGACTCCAGAGCCTGAACAGTGCTCTAGAGTCTGATGGGGAACTGCTAACAAAGGAAGGAAGAACCAGAGTCAAGCAGGGTTGGGCAGAGGTGGGCTGAGGAAGAGGGAGGGGAGGAGACTGAGGCTAAAGCTTCTACTCTCTTCCTTTTACTGCGACTTCTGGGCTACCCTTTAGTGAAGAGTTCACACAGAAGTGCCTTTCTGGGTTCTTGACCCTGACTTGCAGGTAACTTTCTGCTGATGCCTTTGAAGGCCTAAAAGTAGATGACAGTGACTGGCCAGGGAGGGGTCCTGCTCTTCTGGAGACTCCTCTTTCCCTTTAACAACATCTCTTCCTCCTTGATCCTGCTGAAGCCATGAGGGGCTGGAGGGAGGAAATTGCATACCTGAGGAAGAGAGTCTCAAATCGCTCAGGGCCCTTGGCACGGTTTGGAGCATTCCCCAAGCTTCTTCCAGCCGTTCTCCTTGGTCAGGCCTCTTGCCTCAGTCCTTGGATCAGACACCTTTTTGCTCACACCTGCTCTTTCATGCCCAGACCCAGGTTGAATATGCTTCCCACAGACCATGCACGCATCTGCAGGCAATGATAGAATCATTGACATGGGGGTTTTGGAAGGGAAATATGAGGAAGTAGTGGGGAATCCTTAGGCTTAGAACATTCCAGGGAGTGGGGCTCAGACCACCAGTGATATGCTCATGGAAACTTCCTCCATAAAACATTTGTTAAGTAGCAAGATCTTTTCATTGTCTTATGTCAGCTGAAGAGCAACTTCTCCAGTGTCCTAGATTATTTCTCTGTGTGTCTCTCTCTGTCTCCCCTCGGCTCTCCTTTCTTAACCCAAAGGAAAGGATCTCCAGCAACCCCGGAGTCCCACTTTCTCTTTCAATATAACTAGTCCTTCTTAGGAGTTCAACCACTTCCAAAAGCACTGTTCTCTCTTGCTTTAGATATTATCTTAAATATCGCCTCCTCCAGGAAGCCTTCCAAGGCTGGGTTAGGTGGCCCCCCATGAGCTCCCACAGCAACTTTGCTTCCCCTCTAACAAATCATTTATTACATTGTTAAAAATGCTGATTATTGCCCTTTGAACAGTCTTTCTCCTCCACAAGGCTCTAAGCTCTCTGAGAAAGGAACTGTTTCTTTTTCTTCCATTTTAGCTTCAGCACTGGGCACATGGAAGGATTCAATAAAATGTGTCATAACAGGAAAAGATACATTAATTCATTTTCTTCCCTTTAGACTTTCCAGGGACAAAAGAGAATGAGGAGAAAAGCTGGAGAACTTGCATAAGGAAATGACACCCTGATGTACTTTGTTTCTAACAATTGCATCAGTATTGGGACTATGATGTTGTAGGGAGATATAGTTAAATTGAGGCAGAGTTCAAGATTTGAGACACCAAGGTCTGAGAACAGAGGGTGGCTCATCCTTAAATGGTAAACAGCCATTCTGAGTGTCGTGTCAGGGAACAACCAGTTGCACAGTAAGGACAGGAACTAAGAGGACTGGTCTTAAATTGAGGGAAAAAGGCTTAGATTTTTAGCTTAAATGTTGAGTGCTGAGGTTCCTAGATATGCATTCTTAGAGAAAATGTTTTGTAGTTTGTCTTTTTTTCAAAAGAAGAGAATTTTGATTGTTGTCAAAATAATGCATGCAGATAATTTTAAAGTCAAACATTTTTGTTAAAAAGCTATAACAGGGGCCGGCCCGGTGGGATTAAGTGCACACATTCCGCTTAGGTGGCCCAGGGTTCGCCGGTTCAGATCCAGGGCATGGACATGGCCCTGCTTGGCAAAAGCCATGCTGTGGTAGGTGTCCTACATATAAAGCGGAGGAAGATGGACATGGATGTGAGCTCAGGCCCAGTCTTCCTCAGCAAAAAGAGGAGGATTGGCAGCAGAGGTTAGCTCAGGGCTGATCTTCCTCAAAAAATAAAAAAAGAGAAAGAAAGTAAAAAGCTATAACAAAATGCAGCAGCTCTAGCCCCATCTGTCCCCATTCCCCAATTCCGCTCTCTGAAGCAATCACTTTCAAACCCATTTAGCTATTTTTTTCTGATCTTTTTACTCCTCCTCCCCTTTCCTACGTAGTGTGCTTCTGTTGCTATTTCTTAATTTGTCTATTTTTGACACTGTCTGGTGACATTGTTCTTGAAGATGTGCCTCTCTTAACCACATCCCTACACGCAGTCCCTCCCACCATCTTCTCAGTAGAGTTATTTTATCAGTGAAGATAAGGTTCAGTTGCATATAACAGAAAACTCAAAATGACAGTGATTTACAAAGAATTTTCTTCTCTTTTGAGTAAAAGAATCTGGGAAGTAGGCCTTCCAGGGCTGGTATGGTGGATCTAGCATCCTTCCAGTCAAGTATGGCAGCTTCGACATCCTTCCTAGGATCTTCCACCTTCCATCTTCCGTCTTCCATCTTCCAGGCCATTCTTGAAGGTCCAGCGTTTATGCCTGAATTCTCCAGGGACAAAGAAGAAGGAGGAAGGGGCCATCTCCATAGATTTGCCTATTCTGGATATTTCAAATAAATAGAATAATACAATATGTGGTCCTCTGTCACTGGCTTTTTTTACTTAGCATAACATTTGTAAGGATCATTCATGTCGTAGCATGTATCAGTACTTCATTCCTTTGTATTACTGAATAATATTCCATTGGATGGATACACCAAATTTTATTTATATATTCATCAGTTGATGGAGATTTGGGTTGTTTCCACTTCTTGGCTATTATGAATAATGCTGCTATTAACATTTGTATACAAGTTTTTGAGTGGACATACGTTTTGATTTCCCTTGGGTATATACCTGGGAGTGGAATTGCTGGGTTATATAACTCTATGTTAAACCTTTTGAGGAACGGCTAGACTGTTTCCGAAGGCAGCTGCACTATTTGACAATCTCATCAGCAGTGTATGAGGGTTCCAATTTCTCCGTATCCTTGCCAACACTTATTATGATCTATCTTTTTTATTCTAGCCATCCTAGTGGATGGGAAGTGCTATCTCGTGGTTTTGATTGGCCTTTGCCTAATGATTAATGATGTTGAGCATCTTTTTATAGGTTTATTGGCCATTTTTATATCTTCTTTGGAGAAATGTCTATTCAGATTGTTTGCTCATTTTTTAAATTGGGTTATTTGTCTTTTTATTGTTGAGTTGTAAAAGTTCTTTATATATTTTATATACAAGTTCCTTACCAAATACATGATTTGCAAATATTTTCTCCCATTCAGTGGTTGTCTTTTCAGTTTCTTGTTGGTATCCTTTGAAGC